CCGCCCGCCGCCGGGGTCGCCGCGGTGGGGAGGGGCGTCGTGCCCGTGACGGCGTTGGCGGCGGGGGTGGTGCCCGTGGCTAATAGGGAGGGCGGCGGCGCACCCAGCGCCGCGGCCGACTGGGGCGGGCGCAGGCGCGTGAGGATGGCGGCGAGCTCGGTGATGGCGTCGAGGGCGTCCGGGCTGAGGTGCGGCGGGAGGGCGAGGGGGTGCTGCGGCGGCGGCGGCGGCTGGGATTTCGGCATTTTCGGCCACGTCCTGCTCGCCTCTTCTCTCTCCTGTGTCTTCTTTTTTTTTTTGTTCGTTTGTTTGCCTGGGTGCGCTTTTGGGCGGTGCGCACAGCTCTTGACGGGCGTGGCGCACCTGCGCGAAAGCTCGAAGCCGACTGGTTGGAGGGTGGGAGTCAATTGATGTTGGGGAAGCTCCGCGTGTTGGCTTTTTTGGTGGAGAGAGCTCGCTCTGCAGGTAATTCCCGCGTGCAGTTGCGTTGCGGCGTTGGCTTTGATAGCACTGTGCCTTTGCTGTTGTTAGCACTATGTGGGAGCTCCTCACTCCGCCGCGCATATCATTCCAACGCTGGACAGTATTACCTGACAGTCCAACACATTTGCACTGTCTCCTCAACAGCTGGGATGTTTCTCCCGCATTTTGTTGCTCAAAAAATGACCCCCACCTCCAAAATCTCTCAGTGACGGAAGGTGGGCTGGAGGTCCCAGAGTGCATGACTTCATGTCGCTGTAATTCCTTTCCTAATTCTCTTCTCTTCCCTTCCAGTTCCTTCACATAGACAGACCGAGAAGTCACACATAGAGACAATACTAGACGCTCTCTTCACTTTTGCCCACTTCGTTCGCTTCTGCGTCTTTAGTAACTTTGATTTCACCGTCCACGCTCCCAGCATGTCGAAAGTGGAGCACAATGCTTGTTTGAGTACGTTCGCTTCCCTTTCCACTGCCCCCCTCTTGCGCCAACTCTACCCCCAGGAAATGAGACAGGGGGACGAGAGGGGAAGACCACGACGGCATCACACCGCCACGATCACCCTCAGCAACGCTGTCGATAGGGCTATCAACAGCACTGGCGCCAGCTCCGGCGCTAGTTGGTCGACATCACGATGGAAACCCCTACGACACCCAGCGCTCTCACCCGCGCTCCACGCCGCCGCAAAATCGACTATCTCCTCGTCCTGGCATACATGCTCTTCTACCTCGAGATCGGCTGGCTAATCTTCATGCTGTTGCGCACGTACAGTCGTGATTGACGGTTGGGGAGTCCCGTCCGAGGACTCGCCCAAGGATGGCGATGCCATCACGGCTGCCGAGACCCCTGTCATGGACGCCTTTGCGCAGAGCAAAACGGGCTATACCGAACTCGAGGCCTCCTCGCTTGCGGTCGGTCTCCCCGAGGGCTTGATGGGAAACTCTGAGGTTGGCCATCTCAATATTGGCGCCGGCCGTGTCGTCTGGCAGGACGTCGTCCGCATCGATCAGTCCATCAAGACGGGCGAGTTCAGCAAGAACAACGTCATCAAGAAGACGCTTGATGCGGCCAAGGACGGCAACGGCAGACTCCACTTGTGCGGTCTCGTGTCCCATGGTGGCGTGGTAAGTCCCCATCACCGGGTAGAGCCTACGTTTTTGAACTCAAACAGGATGGCTGACGGCCCCAAAGCACTCGAAGCAGGAGCACCTGTACTCCCTCCTGAAGGCCGCCAAGGAGACTGGCATCCCCAAGGTCTTCATCCACTTCTTTGGTGACGGCCGCGACACGGACCCCAAGTCTGGCCTCGGCTACATGGAGGAGCTCCTGGAGAAAGCCAAAGAGATTGGTGTTGGAGAAATCGCGACTGTCGTGGGCAGGTATTACGCCATGGACAGGGATAAGAGATGGGAGCGCGTCGAGCTTGCCATGAAGGGCATGATCCTTGGCGAGGGTGAAACGGCCGATGACCCCGTCAAGGCCGTCAAGGAGCGGTACGAGAAGGGCGAGAACGACGAGTTCCTGAAGCCTATCGTGGTCGGTGGCGACGAGCGCCGGATCAAGGGTAAGGAGATCCAGCTCCTATGCTGGTGTTTTTGGATTGGCCTGTTGTGATGGGTGGCCTCAGGTTGCTAACTAAAGGGCCAGATGACGACATTGTCTTCTTCTTCAACTACCGATCCGACCGAGTCCGCCAGATCACGCAACTACTAGGAGACGTCGACAGGTCACCCCGCCCCGACTTCAAGTATCCCAAGATCAAGCTCGTCACCATGACCCAGTACAAGCTTGATTACCCGTTCGAGATCGCTTTCCGGCCGCAGCACATGGGCAACGTCCTTGCCGAATGGCTGGGAAAGCAGAAGGTGGAGCAGGTTCATGTGGCCGAGACGGAGAAGTACGCGCACGTTACCTTCTTCTTCAACGGTGGCGTCGAGAAGGCGTTCGAGCTTGAGACGCGTGACGAGAACCAGGACCTCGTTCCCTCCAACAAGAGCGTTGCCACGTACGACGAGGCCCCTGAGATGTCGGCCGACGGCGTCGCGGACCAGGTGGCCAAGCGCCTGGGAGAGCAGAAGTTCCCGTTCGTCATGAACAACTTTGCGCCGCCAGACATGGTGGGCCACACGGGCGTGTACGAAGCGGCAATTGTGGGGTGCGCTGCGACGGACAAGGCCATTGGCAAGATCTATGGGGCCTGCAAGAAGGAGAACTACATTCTCTTCATCACGGCGGACCATGGCAATGCCGAGGAGATGAAGTTCCCTGATGGGAAGCCCAAGACCTCACACACTACCAACAAGGTGCCCTTCATCATGGCAAACGCACCTGAGGGTTGGAGCCTCAAGACAGCTGACGGCGTACTCGGTGATGTCGCCCCGACCGTCCTGGCCGCCATGGGACTGCCGCAGCCTGAGGAGATGACTGGAAAGAGCCTACTGGTGAAGGCTTAGACATCTCATCTTTGAGAAGTCAAAATGGAATGATGGAACGATGTCAATGCGCATAGATAAAGTCAGACGAGATCAAATACAACCTAGAGCCGGCCGCCGTGCCGCAATATCAATGTGCCCAGGACTGCTATTACAAAGAATTTTTGGTAGCGAGCGAGATATGCAATGGGCATCAGAGGCCGATGGAGATGGTGGGAGTGCGGTACTTGACAGGGGGAGGCTTGGGCAGCGTCTTCGCTCACCATCTGATTGCACGTAGGCACTAAGTCTGTGATACTGTGGCTTGCCATGGCGGCATCATTCAGCAAAGCAGGGGCTCTAGACAGATAAAAAAAAAACATTTTAGCTCGACAAAAATGCGCCCGGGTGGACCTGGCATGGCTCCGTATGTGCTGTTCATATGCAGATAAAGCAGTGTGTAATTTGGCCTAGGGCTCCTGGTTACTAGCAGCGGTTGCTTCCGTCCTGAGTACACGACTCATCCAGTCATACCCAGTCAGATGCTTCAGGGTGCTGATATCGGACTCCGAATACCAGAGAGAATCGGGCAACGTCAGCGGTCCGTCGATGGATTCTCGATCGATCCGATGAAAGGTACCTTCCCCACCCCAAAGCGGGCAGTGTGAGGTGACACGAAGGAGGGTCTCGCAAACTGCTGTCAGTGACCCGCTCGAGACTCAAACCATAAACGGATGCAGAGCGCCCGACTCGTGGGGACATCGTGGGAGTCTGACGGGCTGGAGGAGAGGGTGGTAGGAATTCTAGAGTGGGACGAGGCAGACTCGCCAGAAGCTACCAGAAGCTTAGCCTTTACGAATCACGAGGCCTGTCTCTGCAAATTACATTAGATTCCGTCTGATGGACCTGTTCTCCCGCGCTGTTTTGAGTCGGGCTTGTCCCCAGCATGTGCAACAGAGGGGCCACCGCATGTCGCCAGAAAATTGCGTCATAGGGGTCCCCCTTAGCCGCGCCCTGCTCGGGGTGCGGGACCCTTATTTTCTCGCACTTCTCAGGAGGCCGCCGAGGCACGTCTTTTTTTTTTTTTTTTTTTTTTGCACACCAACAAGGAACAGCGTGCAAAGGCCCGCTGTTGGTTGGCGGCGGTGGCTTCCTTCAGCCAGAGCTGTCGCATTTCAGGGGTCGTCTCTGCATCGCTGACCCACATGGGTGCCCTGGCTGCGCCCGGCTTCTCCAGCAAATTACGTCATTCCTAGGCCGTTGTCGACGCCGATGGCCTGACTCGAGCGAAATGGCTGCCAGGCCGGAAGTGGTGACAACCTCAGCCGTATTGTTTTGTTCGCTGCCGACAAATTTTGGACATGGCGAGATCTCGATGTGATAAGCTGGCGACAAGGCGGCGGACGGCGGGCGGAACTGTCGGCTGATTTGAATGCTGGAAAGATGCCTTCCTGGGCTTTGGCTGATGGGTGGACGGCCCAAACTTGGGGGTGTGACGGTGCGTCTGATTTGCATGGGCGCGGCGGGAACTGAGCTGGCCCAGGCGTCCAGCCTGGGTCTTTTGAAGGCGGCGATACCGTCGATGGCGGCCAAAAACTCTGATGGTCGGGGAGGGGGCACGGACCGAGATCCCCACTCATATGGCAGATAGCAGTCCACCTAGGGCCGGATGATCACAGTCCAGCCAATTACCTTAGTCGTGGGATCGAGATCCCCGGCTCAATTCACCCCTTTTCATTCATACCCCACCCCCGTCGGAGCAGATCCAGCGAATAGAACACACTGTGGGGCCTGCTGTATTCTGAATTGGGTGTAACCACAGTCTGTGATTGAGGTTGGTGTGGTAGGAGGCTCGGAGACGGAAGGATAGCGGTTGGTGTTAGCAGCTATAGATGTTAGGATACCAGATAGAAAATGAAACCACAAAAAAATTGCAGTACATACATGAATCTTCCCGTTTGACTTTTAGCACTCGTGGGCTTAACGGTCGAGGCGCGCCGGCTGCGCACACAGCCCAGGCACGTAGTGGGGCCTGCGACATTGAACCCTCCAATAACAAGACAGCACTTCCTGATTCTGACGAGGACCCACCTCAGCACAATCGAGAGTTGAGCGCGGAATCTGAAAATCGTGAAGGGATCGAAGGCCATCGAGCACCAACCACAAAACAAAGTGCACCCTGCCGGCGCACCCCCCTCCTGGCCCAGCGCCCCCGGCGAGCGGCAAAAACGCCACGCCAGGCGTTGTACTGTGCTGTCGCACGCCTCGTTCGATGCCTGGAATCAAAAACGATTGTGCTGGCTCCTGCTGAACCCTCCATTTTGGGAGATATCACGGTCCATGCCCACGCCGAAACTCACGGCCGGAAGCTTCCCACGCGCGAAGCCCAGTCCAGCCCAACATCACCAGCCCGCCCATTAGAGTAGCATCCAGCACCACAACCACGAGCCATCGCCCAGCAAAACAGCGTCTTTCCACTAGGCGCCGCTGCGACCCGTAAGGGCAATCTCGGTCGAATTTGTGTGTTGATCGTTTTTCTGTCGTTCGTCTTGTTCTAGCTGTTTTGCCCTTGGTCGGAGCGGGTTCCGGCGGGGAGGCCGAGGCCCTTGGCCCAGTTCGACTACCTTGCCTCCTGCGCTCTCCCCTCCTGTACCATTCTTCTGGTGCAGGATGCCGCATCGTTCGATCTGTTGCATTTTGTTATCAACACATGTGAACCCCCCACCTCCCGTCACTCTGTCCGCCAAGACACCCATCCTCCTCTGCCTCAATCAACTCTGCGCTTCGGAAACCGCCATTGTCGCCCAAAATCACTGACCAGATTTTGCGATCCAGATGGGAGAAGAAGGAAAAAAACAGTGGACCGAGTTCCGAGTGCCCCCGCACGACGAGACGCCCGTCGCATGAACCCCATTGGGGAAATCCAGAAGTATTGAATGCGACCACGCCTGCAGGATGGGCAACGATTCGCAGTCGCAAGCAGCAAAGCTCTCGCCCCAGGGCCATCGTCTCCCGCGCAGATCCCCCAGTACGCGCCTGAGCCCGCCCAGGAAGCCGGCGCTCGCTCAGAACGATGGCGACGACGATGGCGACACCGGGTCGTCCGTGTTCCTTCGGCGAAACTCGTCCGACGAAAGCCACAAAACCAGCCAGAGCGACCCTCGGGTTTGGTTCGACCAGTCAAATAAGAACCCGGCCATAGACATGAACTCGATGGAAGGTTTGTATGGCCTGGACTCGAGACCCTCGCGACCAACCATTAGCATAAAGTAATCCCCCGTGAACGCATTGCGCTGACGATCCATCTACTTGCTCAAGTGGACTCGCCATACTATCAGAAACGGCCAGCCTCTCTTCGGGATGACTACTTTGATGGCGGCATGCCTCCTCGGGCCGCCTTCCCCGACAACGCCGGCGTGCCTTCCTTGCGGCCTACAGTCACCCAAAGCAGCAGCGTAGACGAGTTTCGGAGCGTCATCGACGATTTGACTATCGAAAACAAACGGTTGAAGGATGAGCTCAAGCGCTACAAACAATTCGGTACGGACCTCATGAGGAAGGACAGGCTTTTTGAGATCAAAATGCACGGTCTGTCGAGCAAGAAGAAGAGGGAGCTCGAGGCCACGCTTCGAGACTTCGCTTCCACGCTTGAGGGCTCGACCGAGACCTCGACGCGTCACAAGAAAACCAAGTCTGGAAGCCGTTTCAACAAATCTTCTGGGGGCACTACTTCGAAGCATGCCTCGTCCTCTTCATCAAACTCTCGTCCGGTCGACTCTGCGTATGCCTCCATGTCAACAGGGCCTAGCACGGTTCAAAACTCGCACACGTCTGCGTCCTTGGCGCAGAGACCCAATGCATCGCAACGATCCAATGCGCAGAAGGTACAAAGCTACCTCGAGGACATACCCGAGGGTCTTTACCCACGGTACCTATCCATGACGGAAAAGGACAAGCAAAAACTAGTGGTCAGGCGCCTCGAGCAACTCTTTACTGGGGAGATGAACGGCCCGGCCATTGGCGTTTCGGACAGGGCGGGGCGACAGCATGAGCCGGCGCTCGACGCCGGGAGGACTTCCGACATGGTTCGCGAGGCGCTGATACAGGTCCGCAAGAAATCGTCCCGCGAGATTGGATCCTCCAACTCGAACGGCGACGCAGGAAGCGGGAGCGGGGGTGGCCATGGAGCAAGTGGAGGCGGGAGTGGGAACGGCAGCAGAGACTCGCCCCAGGGGCCAAGCACAGCATCCGAACAACGGCCAACCAGGCCTCTCGATCTTGATCCCGATCGCGTCCAGGTGCCGTCGGAGAACATAAACTACATCCGGCATCTGGGCATGGTGCCGCCCCAACTTGATGCTGGAACCAAGACCAGCATGAAGAACGTCTCCGCGGACGCCGACGGCTGGGTATACATGAACCTTCTATGTAACCTGGCTCAGCTGCACATCATCAACGTCACCCCCGCTTTCATCCGGGCCGCTGTTTCCGAGAAGAGCACGAAATTCCAACTGTCACCCGACGGCCACAAGATCAGGTGGCGTGGCGGGACAGACGGGACGAGATTTAGCAGCGACAGCGGCAACACATCCTCGAGAGACAGATCGTCGGACGGAGATGACAGCTCCGACAAAAGTGCAGGCCTCCACGGCCAAAAGCGGAAATTCCTGGCTGTGGGCGACAATGGATCTGGACCGACGTCCAACAAGGCTGCCAGGTCGTCCGCGAGCGTACACTACAAGCCCCTGTTCGTCCAGCAGTCGTCGTTTGAGACATCTGGGGAGATGTCAAGCTCGCAGGCATCAGGCCCCGAGGACAGCAATTTTGGAAACACTTCAAAATGGGACTACAGCGGTTCGGGGTCATCGCCGCGCAAGAAGCGTCGGGTCGACGGTGCCATCGTTTACTACAGCGGTATGCCCTTCTGTACCGACCTCTCTGGAGATCCCGGCGATATTTCACCCACGACGTACATGACTTCGACAAACAGGGAGACGAACTCGCCCGAGACCGCCCCCAGGGTGTTCCGGACATTGTCAGGGTCATCGCTTCCATATCGCCCCCTGAGCAACACCCAGGCCTACACCAAGCTCACCGAGGAAGTGGAGGATCAAGCCTTTTCACAGGACCATCTCAGCAGCGATGGGTCTGAGGACGATTTCGTATGGCATGCTTCGTCAATCAAAGCCGAATTGGAGGCGGCGCCACTTGAAATGGAAGCCTGCGGCCTCGGCGGCGTGCAGCCGGATGACCACTTTCTTGTCGTGGTTCTCACCCGCCGCCATCATGACCTGGATTCACAACGACACGAGGCGCGGCCGCATGCCTTCCGAGAGCGATCCGACAGCACGACGGCGACTATACTGGACCGGTTCAAATTGCTGAAGGCCGCATCACCAGGGCCCATGACGCCGAACCGCTGTCTCGAGCCCGCCAAGTACATCGAATACACGTCGACGCAGGTGAAGATGCTGGACCCTGCTCCGTTGCCACCACCAGCCATGTTCATGCCGCCGTTCAGCACGTGCTCCTCAGACAATGCGGAAGTCGAATCAGAGAGCGAGCTTCTGGACTCTGAGGAGCCGGATGCCCTTCCAAGTGGGCTATTATTCCTTCCATCTGAGAGGCCTGACCTCATGCGCGCAGATTCTAATCTAGCATATCCAGATGGTGGTGAAATTTCCCCCAGCGACGAGGAGGGCGAAGACTCTGAGAACCCGGGCGACGGCATGTATATCGACAGTCACAAGGTTGGCGTCTCGTCGCGGAAACGAAGGCCATCCAAAGGCCATGGTGACGTGCACTTGGGTAAACCTGCGGCGAGACGGTCAAGTTTGACGAGCGACTCTCGCAAGGCAACAGGCGATGCCAGGACTCAGAGCTCAGTTGCGACGGCAGGAGGCGCCGAGAGCGGTTACGACAGCAGCATGGAAGAATGATTTGTATTTTTGGGTCGCTCCAATCATATCCTCAGCCCGGGAGCGCTTCTTGGTGTTACCCCAAGCCATCTGCCGCTGAGCGACTTGGATTTCAAGATTTATTCCCATCATTTATCACCCATATATTTCCTATCAACTCATTGTTATTTAGCGTTCAAGACTTGTATCCCGTTTCCAGGGGATAAATAGATACCATGGTGCTTTGATACTGTTCTGGGCAATTTATTTTTACTGAGAAAAGAAGGATGAGGGAAACGGGCACTTCGGGCGTTTGGAGGGAGCATGATCACTTGTGCTATTTGACTCCTTGGCTCGACTTCGAGACCGCCAATTTTGCTACCATAAAATTATGACCGAATTTCGTTGCGTCGTCATCAATGTTAGAAACTTCTCGGTATGGGCTCAGCTCAGCCTCAACGACAGTGGTGCCACTGAAACCCAACCCGAGCTACCCCACGGCTCGCGCTAGCTAGCAATTGAGCAGCCAGGTACCCCGCCATCGAGCCGCAGGCACTGGCCTCCAGCCAGCCTTGGTCGACAGCTCCAGGTTACCTAGACCACGACACCAGCACGAGCGACTGCGGACCGTGAGTGGCAGGAGAGCGGCGAAGTGGACCCGTTGCTGTTGATATTTTCCGACGTTTCGACCCTTGGATAAAGGCGCCAGAACCACACCTCGGAGCCTGTGTCCTGCCTTCAGACGGTCGGAGCGGGGAAGAAAAGAAAGGGCTTCAATGTGACAAGGCTAGCTCGAGCAGCGGCAATGTCAGGGAAAGAAAAGGAAATGGTGGCGACGGCAGGGTGAGTCCGACCCAAGTCCAATCAGGGTAGCGCGTTAGCGAACCCGACCTGCGTGTGCGAGGCCCATGGTTCGATACCGGCTTTGCGCCCCGTCTGGCTCGCACGAGCGACAACTGAAAACGAACTCCTCCTCATCCGTATCTCCCACCCAGGGCCGAAGCGACGCCGTCGAACCCGCGCGGGATACCAAAGGCGCCGTTTGTCGACAATGTCGAGGACTACGTCGCGAGCCGAGCCGACGTCGAGGCCACCCTCCAGCGCTTCCAGGAGATGATCTCGTGAGCCATACCCGACCCTCTCTCTCTCTCTCTCTCTCTCTCTCTCTCCCTCGCTGCGCGCTCGTGTCGCGCGCGCCGAAGATGCGACGTTTGCCGGAGGTCTAGCGAGGCTGGTGCCGAACAAATCGGGCGGCGGACCGGGGAAACACGGGCGGCGGACGAATGACGGGAGACAAAGATGGACTGACGCGCACTCATCCCTGTCCCGCTTGCAGCAAGTACCAATTCATGGAGCTCAACCTACAGCGGCGGGTGGCCGGGCTCAGGGGCAAGCTGCCCGACATCGAAAAGACGCTGGAGACGGTGCGGTTCCTGAAGCTGCGCAAGGAGGGCGACGACCCGATCGAGACGACGTTCGAGCTCAACGACACTCTATACACAAAAGCCGAGATCCCACCGACGGACGAGGTTTTCCTGTGGCTGGGGGCATGTTTTATCTCCCCCTTGCCTTGGACCAGGCGCTCTCTTATGCCCAGGTTGCTGACAATATCCTGGATCTACACGTCTTCTTCCCTCTGGCTATAGGCCAACGTTATGCTGTCGTATCCGATAGCGGAGGCGGAGGAGCTTCTGGTGTCCAAGGAGAAGGCGGCGAAGCAAAGCCTGTCAAACTGCGAGGAGGATCTAGAGTTCTTGAGGGAACAGATTACGGTGTGTGGCTTATGTGTCCCTTCCTCCGCCTGACCCATGTCCCGAGGCTGACTGTTTTGGGCGCTCAACCATTGGTATCAGACCATGGAGGTTGCCATAGCAAGAGTGTACAACTGGGATGTTGTACAGAAGCGCAAAGAGAAGGCCGAGGAGGAGAAAGCCATGAGTTCCGAGAAGGAAAAGACGGTACCCAAAAAGGCAAGTGTTGAGGATGATGGTTGAGGCAAGGCGTCGACGTGGGGGCTTTTTACTGTGTTGCCGAGACCCGGCGGTAGGAACGTGCCCTCGCTCGAGCGGGAAAGTTGTGGCACTACATACGAGTGTCTGAGCTTGAGCTGAGCAAAAGCACAAAGGCATGCCATGGTCGACGTGCTCCTTTGGCTGAGTTTGTGGCGGTGTCTAGCTCCATGTCCACGGGGCAGCTAATATCTAGTTCCAAGAACCGCTGTCTAGGAGGGTCAAAGCAGCTGAGGCACGACTCATCGGGATGGAGAGGTCAAATGAACTGAACAGGATGAATAAAGATTGCGGATGAGCACGAAATGTCGTATTTGCGCATATATACGATGGCTGTGCAGACTAGTACCTATCCGGCTAGGACTCTATTGATGGTAGATGGTGGTCACCCTCTGATGGCTGACACCGGGCTGTAGGTGGCCTTGGCGATGGCGTCAAATAGGGGCGGGGAACAGCTGGGGACAGGGGTTACGTAAGACAGCGGAATCGCACATGGGAGGAGCCAAGAGCGAGGAGGGGCTGTGTTGGAGAGCTTACCGCTCGACTCAACAATAGACCCGTTGGAGCGAAATCCAGACGAACAACAGAGCCGGCCAAAACCCCTCTATGACGAAAATCTAGCTCTAGTGCACCTCCTGAATCGCTCCCTACAGCCGACTGCACAGCACACAAGGTAGCCCCGTGATTGCGAGCTCCGTCTGATGAAGCTTCTTTGGCCCGTGTAAGCTAAAGTTGACCAACACCCTTCAAGTCTTAGGTGAGAGCTCTCTCTCCTCCTGCTGACGAATTCATTCATTCCCAGTCCTCTGCCCAAGTCCATTGTGTCCATTCCCGAGCCGACTCGTGCTGCGCTGCTTTTTGTTGCAGCTGCTAGTCTTGCTGCGTCCCGTGAAACTAGACCGCCTATTTTTTTATTTATTTTTTGGCCTGCCTATCTAGGTAGGCTTTTTTTGCTTACTGTTACGGCCCATCGACCCAGCAAAAAACAGCAGCCACCTCCTGTTCGAATTTGTTTGCTCCCAGCCAACTCCGACCTGTCGGACACCGCCCTCTCACCTCCAACGCCAAAGCCACACATCTCCGCCGCCCACAATGGCTGCCGTCACGACTGCACCCGCTCCTCTGGAGCTGAATCCCAAGCACGACGACTATGACTTCCCCACCATTGCTCCCGTCGCCGCCAACGGCCACCCTGGCCATCTGACCGCCGAGCAGCAGGCCCAGGTCTCGCAGCTGAGGATGCAGCTCGAGAGCCAGGGCTGCACCGAACGCCTCGACACTCTGACCCTGGTACGGAACATGAAGTCCTCGCTCGTTATGCCGTGTGGCTGCCTGCAATGCTGACATATGCCGTGCCGTGGCTCCTGTGTGACTAGCTGCGTTTCCTGCGTGCACGCAAGTTCGATGTCAACCTGACCGCCAAGATGTGAGTTCTTGTTCCCGCCAACAGGCACTACCCACCCACCCGGTCCTCGGCCCCACGTAACACACATTGCACAAGTATTGATCACAACATCCGTCTTGGGGCTACAGGTTCATCGACTGCGAGGCGTGGCGTAAAGAGACCAAACTGGACGAGATCCTCCCCACCTGGGAGTACCCTGAGAGGGCCGAGATCTCCAAGTTCTACCCCCAGTACTACCACAAGACCGACAAGGTAAGGCACGAGCACACAAAGACTCTTGGGGGCCGGGGTCTCGCAGGGCGGGGAGGCTAACACGTTGCTGTTCGCTTTTTTGCGCCTCTAGGATGGCCGGCCAGTGTACATCGAGCTGCTGGGCAACGCCGACATCACGGCCATGAACAAGATCACGACGCAGGAGCGCATGCTGACGAACCTGGCGGTCGAGTACGAGCGCGTGGCGGACCCGCGGCTGCCCGCGTGCAGCCGCAAGTCGGGCCACCTGCTCGAGACGTGCTGCACCATCATGGACCTCAAGGGCGTGGGCATCTCCAAGGCCTCGCAGGTCTACGGCTACGTCAAGGCGGCGTCCAACATGTCGCAAAACTACTACCCGGAGCGCCTCGGGCGCCTGTACGTCATCAACGCGCCCTGGGGCTTCTCGGGCGTCTGGGGCATGATCAAGGGCTGGCTGGACCCCGTCACAGTCCAGAAGATCCACATCCTAGGCAGCGGCTACCAGAAGGAGCTGCTCGAGCAGGTGCCCGCCGAGAACCTGCCAAAGTCGCTTGGCGGCACCTGCGAGTGCCCCGGCGGCTGCGAGCTGTCCGACGCCGGCCCGTGGAACGAGAAGGAGTGGGCCCGCCCCGCCAAGTGGGAGCTCAAGCACCAGGAGAAGCTGAAGGCGGGCGGCGCCCCGGCCGCCGCCCCGGCCGCCGCCCCGGCCGCCCCCGCCACGACCGAGGCTGCCCCTGCGGCTGCGGCTGCTGAAGGCACGGCACCGGCCGCGGCTTAGAAACCGAAGCGGACCTCCATCTGGCGACGGTGATCGGGACTCTGCCCTGACCGACGTTTTTGATTATTATCCAACATTCTTGATATATCGTTTCTTCTCCATTGTCCTTGTGCTAGAATGCGCTGCTGGTTGCACGGAGGTGCTTTGGGGGGTGAAGTTCAAAGTACGAATGTGGGTGGTGCCTATGTGAACAGAATGCCTGGTGGATTTCGTGTCTGCCTGTCGAGTGGATGGGGGAAAACTCGGTAGAGGGGGGGTTGTCACTCATTGATTTATTCGACTTCATGTCTCAACCACCAATGTGTTCCTGTCGACTAAGGACTACTATGGTCAACCCTATCCAAGTAATACAGATAGATAGGTACCTACCTAGACTCAAGCCTCTTATAAAATATGTATAGAGCTTTCCGAACAGTCTTGGTTATAACTGCTCCTACATCGATTTGAGGCTGTGCTCGGTATCATGTCAGGCAAACGTAAAATCCCCACCCAAACCATCAACATGCGCCAGCGGAGCAAACCTATCCAAAGCCCAATGCCAAAGAAGCACAAAAAAGAAGTGGCGGGGCCGACAAGCCTCAGGGGCCGGCAATGACGTACGTCCCCGCGGCCCGCGCCCTCTCCATGCGCGCCACCGTGGCGGGCATGTCACGCTTCAGCCTCGCGAGCCCGTCCACGGCGGACGCGAAGGCCCGCTCCGCCTCGGCCGGCCTCTGCAGCACGCCCGGCGCGTCACCGCCGCCGCCATTCTCTGCCGAACCCTCCTCGCCCACGCCTATCCCCACGTCCAGCACGCGCGTCCGCGCCCCGCCAGACCGCTCGGCCAGGTCGCGCGCCACGGCCCCGGGCCCCGCGACGCGCTCCCGCGC